ATCATTTGCTGATTTTCAGGACTTCGATACCAGTTCACATGAAAATGTATATCCTGTGGGCCAGGTTCTCTATCTCGGTTCTTCACGAAGCAAGTTTGGTTAGATAATCAGCGAAACAAGAGTATAACGTATAGGCTAAGACATTAATAAAAACCTATTCAATGTGTTTACAATCAGCGCGTGTTGCTATGTATCCCCAGAATCCTGACCCCTGTTGTGTGACTACTGAACTTGCTTTGGTTCTGTTGACTCCTGGTTGTGTACTGAACCTATCTTAAAGGTGTTGTGTTTGGACTTTGTTCATCACTCCAATCTCTTTTCCAAACTGTTTCTCTTTGTTTTACTGAATTATTTTCAAACAAACTTCCTTTTAATACAGTTTTTTCCATTAAACCTTTTCAACCTGTGTCAAGCACTACCACTCTACTCCTTAGTCAATAGGTTTCTACCCCTCCAGTATGTGTACTGCCTTGGGATCCCCTTGAGAACCCTCTGAAAACTGGCATGCTGAGGCTGCCCTTTCCACAGCTGACAACCGTATTTCAATTTGTTACCAAGTCTAGGTGTAAGCACTGCCCGGGACCCTTGAGATCCTTAGGGAACTTTGATGCACCTAGACTATGACATTGTCTATAGAATTGAGGCATTCGAGGCTATTGGAGGCTTTGGAAATCTGGGCCTAATTGAAGGCTCCCTATAGAATTGCTTCTTATTTTCTTATTTACTTATGTAATTCATTCATGTTGTCTGTAATAACTTGTGAACAAATATTGAGGTAATTAGTGAAAGGGATGGGTAGCTACATGTTTATGGGGTAATACGGGTAAAAATCACGCTTATAGGACCTTACATTTTAATCCTATTGCCTTACTAAGTAGAAATCATGATTATAGGGCTTTACATCTTGTCATGTTTATCTCACCATGCTAGAAATCACGCCTATAGGTTTCAAATAATTCTGTAATAGAAATCATGTCTGCATGTCTTAAAATCAGCTTCACAAATAGATGCCATGCCTATAGGATTTAATCCAGATTCTATTATAACAAGTGCTTATGTATGTTTCCATGCCTGCAAGTCTTTAATATCAGTATTAAACTTAGATATCATGCCTATAGGGAACAATATCAAATCCTGCCTATGGATCTCGCATAGTTTTAGTTTAAATAACTCAATCCGGTTAAGGTTTAGTTCACTTCTGATTTGGTTTAATTAAGTGGTTTATATTTCCCTGAAACGAGTTCTTTGAAAACTGCCTTAAACTGTTATTAGACAGCATGCCCATAGGGATTTAAAAGTCTGTTTTAAAATCTGCCCCGTTTTACTATAAAACGTAGTCATCAGTATTTCGCGTATAGGCAAGCCTGTACGGCGTTTTCAAAACTTGCAATCCTGAAACTGTTTCTATGACTTAATGTTTTTTCTGATCCTAACAGGGTTTTAAAAAAAGAATAGGCAACTGCTAGGGTCATTACTCATGAGTTTGCAAAAAAAAATTACTTGTCTTCTGCATATTCACCTAGACATCCTGCCTCAGGATACTGTTTAATAAAAAGCCCTTAATTGTTCTTGAAGTCGTGCTGTTTATGTGCCTTATTTGAGGAGGAAACTTTGAGCCTCTAATTGATCCCTTTTATCTTATGTGTTAAAAGTCCTAATTGTTTTGCCTGTCACCTTAGAATTTTCACCTTTAAAACCTTAGGGGTCTGTCTAGAACCACCTATAGGTAGAGGTCCTAAATCCCTCCAGGACCATTAAGAAGGGTTTGGGTAACAGCACGCAATAGAGATCGCTGACTAAACACTCACTTTGCATGACCACTAAGGGGATGGGAAGGGTAGATATGGGATATGATGACTACGCGCTAATGTCACGTGTAGCCCCTCATCGAGGAGTGTTTACCGGACATTGTGTGGGGTGATCCTATAGGCTAACCAACCTAGGACCCCTCCTTTACCAAAATTCCTTTTTTCTATTTTAAAACCTTTGTTTACAACTTGTTCAAAGAATCTTTATTACTTGAGTTACCCAATGTGCTTTACTTGCAACCTATTTGATTCAACTGTTTATTTATATGGACTAATTTGTGAATATAAGTTTGGCCGGGACCCACAGTTGTGGACCAAGAGGGGTGCCTAACACCTTCCCCTCGAGGTTATTTCGAGCCCTTACCCTAATCTCTGGTAATGCAAACCAGTGTAAGAGTTAATCGCTCTAGGTGCCCTAACGCACCATAATCCGTTAGGTGGCGACTCTTTAAATACCCAATTCCCAAAAGGAAATGAGTTATTACCCCCCATGAAATGTCGAAACCCAGACTTCCCCCCGCGAGGAAGGGAAAAAAGGGGGCGCAACAGTGGCAATAAGTGTATCAATGGTCTTAGCATTCTCCATCTCAAATCTTTTCAGCAGCTCCTTGAAGCACTTAAACTTCAGAATTTGAAGGACCAGGTTCCTCCATATTTGAAACATCATCGACATCAACAGAATTATGACTTCCACTTCTTTGTTTTGCATCAGGAGTACTTGATGCAACATCAGAAACCTTATGTTCAGCTTCAGTCGAGGTGATTAAGGGACCATGTTCCTCTATGCCTTTTGGAGATTCTGATGTATCTTCTTCATCGCTCTGCTTGACTTGACACATCAAATCAGTCTTTCCATTTGCAATATCTATAGCTTCACTAGGAGCATTTCTAAATTCTTCATCTTCATCTTCTTTGTTATGTGACCCTTTGCCACCATTGTTAAGAAAAAAACATTTTGCATCCAAATGCTCTCAGGTAAGTCAGCTTGGGTTTTCTCCCATTGAGTAGTTCACAAAGAGACTTCTCGAGAAGGGACCTGATCAGGCACTTATTAATCAAGAAGAAGGTGGTGTTGACTGCTTCAGCCTACAAACCAGGTCCTCCATAACCAACTAGTTCAACAAATAAAAACTCGCATGCCCCAGTCATCTGCGCCATAACTCAGCATCATCATCAATGACACTTAGGCATGTTAGCTCACCACCATTCAGTGAATCAAGGTCTGCAACATAGATGTTCTTGAACCTTTTGGCTATCAACACCACTTCACCAGTTTTGAGATTGGTGAGAGTGCAAGATTTGGACAAGAACTTCACTTCATTTTCCCTTATCGCAGATTTGAGACACACTCAACAAGCTATATTTTAAGCCACTCACATGGTACATGTATTTACAATTGCATGGGAGAATGTTTTGCCAATTTTGCCAACACCAAGATTATAGCCCTTCTTGCTATTACCAAAGGACAAACTCCCACCTTGGAAAGCTTAGAGTGAGAGGAAATCATCCATTCTTCCAGTCATATACTTAGAGCAGCCGCTAATATCCATGTACCATTTTTTTACTGCTACCTCTCACTCCAGCCTGCACACAAAATCAATGATTAGACTTAGGAACCTAAGCCAACTTGGGTCCCTTGTAATAATAGAACGGGCAGATCAAACTTCTTTTTGCCCATGCATCCAACACATATTTTCTTTTAAGGGAACCAGGTTCCTCAACAGCAGGCCTCTTTTCAACAAAAACTTTGTTTTTCTGCAAAGACTGAGTTTTAGTTACACAAGAGTCCTTGTAATGACATGTTTGACCACAGTGAGTACACAACCAATTATTATCCACAATTACATACTTGCTATGGGGATTATAGGGGGTTTTAGCCTTTTGGAACCCGATTCCTTGCTTCTTTCCACCAATACTCTTGCACATAGACGTTTTTTACATCATAGGACCAAGTACATTTAAGTGACTTATCAAGATCATTTTTAACCCTTTTCAAATCCTCCTGAAGTTGTCTATTTTTTTCAAGCTCAGCAATAAGACTTGTTTTTACTTTCTTAAGCTCACTCTCAAGCTCAAGTTGAGCCTCACTAGCCACTTTTTTACCCTTAGTGTTGTCCATCCATTTTTTGTTTGGTTTTTCAACAAGTTATTTTCTCTAGTTACTTCTTCCACTTGTTCCTTCAAGTCCACAATAGAAACTACCATATCATCCCTCTCTAGTTCTATGTCACCAATTTCTTCTATTAAAATATTTTTATCATTAATGAGGCTGTGATAGGCATCAATCAACATATTTACTAAGGACATCAATTTTGTCTTAGAGTAAGTTTTCAAATTTCTTTAAACATCAAAAAAACTTACCTCATCTTCCTCCTTGTCCTCATCATCATCAGACTTGGCCAAGAGTGCAAAGATTGACTCATATTCTAAAGATCTTTTGTCAGCAACCATCATATATGCATCTCCTTGGTCATTCTCACCTTCAGATTCACTGGAGCAATCTCCCCAGTCAGCCAAAGCTTTCTTCACCATGTTTTCAGCAACATCTCTTCTATTGAACTTCCTATTAGGGACCTGGTTCCTCTTAGCTGCCTTATCCATGTTGTTTTTGTAATAATCCTGCTTATGAAGAGGACAGTCTATAATGAAGTGTCCAGACTTTTCACACTTATGGCAGCAATCATTTCCTTTAAAATTCCTGCTGGAACTTCCTTTCTTTGGAAATCCATAATTTTTTCGAATCATCTTCTGGAATCTTTGAGTGAGATACTCCATGTCGGATTCATCACTACATGAATCGTTGTTAGCAGCCTTGAGAACCCGGTTCTTCTCCTTCTTGGGATGTCTTCTTTCAAGATGTTTCTTTCTCTTCATCTCATAAGTTTTGAGATTTCCAATAAGCTCGTTGATGTGCCGGAGAATTTCGGCACATTTGATACAAATTGCTTAGATTTTAGCTTGTTTTAGATGCAATTATCCTTTATACTTATGTAATTTTAGTGTTTTTACAGTATATGAGGTTTACGGACTTAAGAGCATGGAAATGAATTCAAAAAGCCACAAAAAGACAAGAAAAGAGCAAAAAGGCATCGCAAATGTGGATATGCTATCGCAAATCCATCATGCGAGCCGCAAAATGCGCACTTGAATCGCAAACCACAACAGTGTTCTGGGCAAAATCCAACGCAAGAAATGCGGTCCAGTCTGCGATCGCATAACCTGTATGCGAGCCGCAGAATGGACCGCAAACTCAACTTGAAGGTTGCTGAAGGTAGAAAATACGACGCGAAATGCGATCGCATTTCTACAATGCGAACCGCAAACCATGAATGCGATGAAGGCCTGGAAACTAGGGTTGAACTATGCGATGGCCATGTCAAGAATGCGGACCGCATGTCTGTTATGCGACAGATATGCGGTCGCATATTTAACCGGAAAGGGCATTTTTTTCCAGATTTTGCCCCGAATTTTGGCCCACTATAAATAGATTTATTGGGGTTTTGTAGGGCATCTTGTCTGATTTTGGGAGCTAATACAAGGCTTTAATATTTTTCACTTTTGGAAGCTTTTGGTTGAAGAATCTTTCACTTTGTAAGCTTTATGGCATTAAATATTCTCTTCATTTTGTATTTTAGTATGAGTAGCTAACTTTAAATACTAAGGTTGTGGACCCTAAATGGGTGTAATGTTAATGGGTGTTTACCATTGAATATATATATAATGGTTGGTTGATGTTTATTTACTTCTCATTCTTCATTTATTGTTGGTGGTTGCAAACATTAACAAGTGCCATTAAATTCTTACTTTGCTTGGTAAAGTGGGTTAGAATTTGGTAGAAGTAAATATCAAAGACTCAAGGCGTTAACCCTTGTTTAATAGAATCGCTTAGGAATAAGTGGGTTTTATTTGGCATATATTGATTGTTTTTAATTGCAACTCTTTTATATTTGGAAAAATTATAAAGAGTAAATACTACCCAACTATTGGAAAATATTGGGAAGTCATTTAGAAATCATTTGCACATTAAAAGGACATTCCATTGGAAATATATCATATTAACACCGGTAGCATTACATTTCATTGAAGGGGACACAACCTTGGTTTCTTTAATCCAATTAATTACATTATAAATCTCAACATTAGTTATTTCTTCAAATTACAATTACACCATACTCTTGTTACAATTAACCGGATAGAATTACGACCTAAGTCGAGTGACACACTAATCGAGTAGCTTTTCATACCTATTCCCTATGGGATTCGACCCCAACCTTGTTGGGTTACTATATTTGACACCGACCGCCTTACACTATTTATTAAAGTGTAATTTGAGCGTATCAAATTTTGAAGCCGTTGCTGGGGAATACGGTTTTGAAATTACTAATTAGTGTGTGCTTTACTTTACGTTTTATTCTATTCTATCACACTTCGCTTGTTTTGCTTGGTGTTGATAGGAAGACATGTCAGACTACGAGGAAGACATGGATGAAAATCCTTTTGCGGACATAGATGAGTACATAGAGGATACAAATGCTATTGTACCTCCGATTGTTGGTGCTTCAACTTTCAAAGTGGAACATGGTCTAATCCTAATGCTCAAAGCGGAGGGGTTTTTCAGGAATTCCACTGATGACGATCCAACACAACACCTTAGGAACTTCTTGGGAGTATGTGCTATGCATAAGCAGAACAATGTCTGGATGATGCCCTAAGGTTGAGGGTGTTCAAGTACTCACTAGCTGGAGACGCAAGAAGGTGGCTCCAAAACTTGCCACCAAATTCCATCCGTTCTTGGCCTGAACTTGTCCGAGCATTTTTAGCTAAATGGTTCCCACAGAGCAAGAAATCCGAACTTTGGGATAAAATTTTATTCTTCAAGCAACAGCCAGGGGAACATCTACATGAGGCATGGGATCGATTCAAATTATATTTGGTGAGGTCTCCCAATCATGGTTTTCCGGACACTATTTTGTTGGAGAAATTTTACATGGGTTTGGATCCTATGAACCAATCTATAGCGAAGAATGCAGCTGACAGATCTTTTATGGACAAATCATTCGCAAGGGTCACAAAAATACTTGACAAAATGGCAAAACATAATCAAGCTTGGTACTCTGAGGATACCACAGGTGGAATTGCATATGATTCGCCTTCCTTGACCAACCTGATTAAGGAAAATCAAGAGAGAGATCAAATAATCGCAGGGCTTGCCACAAATGTCAATGTGTTGACAAAAATGTTCACGGAAAGCCAAACAAAGAAGGTGAATGTGGTGGAGGATGTGCAACCCACATCAAATGAAGATTTTGAGGAAGCAAACTACATCAACAACTCTCAAGGAGGGTATCAAAGGCAACAATACCAAGGTCAAGGACACCAAAATCAATGGAGGCCTAACCCGCAAGGGCAAGGCAACCAACAATGGCGAAATGTCCAAGGTGGCTCAAATCAAGGAAATTGGAATAACAACAATAACTTCGCAAATCGGAGTTCAAATCCTTATGTTCCCCCAAAGGGTCAATATTCAAATCAAGGTTTATCGAGTGATTCCAAGTTGGAAAGCATGCTTGAACGGGTATTACAAAATCAAGAGAAGTACGACACGTCTATGAGGAATATGACCGAGATTGTTGGCTCTCATACCGCATCCATTTAAAAATTGGAAATGCAAATGAGAGACCTCTTAAGGGAACAAAATCCGAAGCAAAAAGGGACACTTCCAAGTGACACAATTGCGAACCCAAAGGGTAGTGGGAGTGGTCCAACTTCTCACATCATGGAAATTACTACTCGGAGTGGGAAGGTACTAAAAGGAGAGGGTGAACAAGTGATTGAAGTAGATGAGTCCGAACAAGGGGTTGAGGTTGAAGAGCCAAGTGTTGTCGAAGTTGAAAAGATTCTGGAAGATTTGCAAGTGCAAAAAGAGAACCGGGAAGAGGTAAGGAAAAGGTAGAAGACATACCAAAAACTCTTCCACCTATTCCTAGACCTCCTCCCCCATTCCCTCTAAGACCTGTGAGGAAGGTTGATGATAGCAAACTTGAAAAGTTCTACGACATTCTCAAGCAATTATCGGTGAATATTCCATTTGTGGAAGCATTTCAAGAGATGCAGGGGTTTGCTAAATATTTGAAAGATTTGATCACAAAGAAGAGAACCACCAAGAATGAAGTGGTAAACATGACTCACCGGGTTAGTTCCATCATTGCAACATCCACCGTCCAAAAGAAAGAACATCCGGGAGCCTTCACCATTCCATGTACTATTGGGGCACGTGATTTTGCAAGAGCCCTTTGTGATAATGGGGCTAGCATCAACTTAATGCCTCTTGCCATCTATAAGCAAATGGGGTTAGGTATGCCGAAGCCCACAAGTATGAGGTTGCAAATGGCCGATCGTTCCATAAAAAGACCGGTGGGAATTATTGATGATGTGCTTGTTAAAGTGGGAAAGTTTCATTTACCCGCCGATTTTGTAATCCTTGATTGTGCGGTTGACAAAGAGATCCCTATCATCTTGGGGAGACCATTCCTTGCCATGGGAAGAGCACTAATGGATTCGGAACAGAATGAGATCAAATTCCGTGTGAATGATGAAGAGGTTACATTCCAAGCAAGCAAGGGTATGAAGCTACCACATGAGTATGAAAGCATCTCGGTGATCGATGTTGTTGATGAAGTAGAGGATGCGGTTGAAATGAAAATGGAAGAACAATGCCTCGGCGAGGCATTGGCGGCTATTTTGGTGAACTTTGATGGTGAAGATATGGAAGGGTATATGGAATTGGTAAACGCATTGGAGGGGCTTGGATCTTACACTTATGCTCCGGCAAAGCTCTCTCTCGATTTGGAGAATAGAGCCACTCCGCCCGCAAAGCCTTCTATTATCGAGCCACCGCAACTAGAGCTCAAACCACTTCCACCACACTTGAGGTATAAATTTCTTGGCTCCAATGATACTTTACCCGTAATAGTTTCTTCTTTGTTGAATGATGTGCAGGTGGAACAATTGTTGGAAGTCTTGAAGGAGCATAGGCAAGCCATTGGATGGACAATTGTGGACATCCCAGGGATTCCCGCGGGAATTTGTGAACACAAGATCCAATTGGAGAGTGAGACGAAACCAAGTGTGGAACATCAACGACGGTTGAACCCGTCAATGCAAGAGGTGGTAAAGAAAGAAATCATCAAGTGGTTGGATGCCGGGGTAGTCTACCCTATTGCCGATAGTTCTTGGGTGAGCCCGGTGCAATGTGTGCCGAAAAAGGGAGGCATGACCGTAATTGAAAATGATAAAAATGAGCCCATCCCAACAAGAACGGTGACCGGTTGGAGGGTGTGTATGGATTACCGGTCGCTCAACAGTGCCACATGCAAAGACCATTTCCCTATGCCTTTTATTGATCAAATGCTTGATAGGCTAGCGGGAAGGTCATTCTATTGTTTCCTTGATGGATATTCCGGCTACAACCAAATCAACATAGCATTGGAGGATCAAGAGAAGACGATATTCACTTGCCCCTATGGAACTTTTGCCTTTAGCCAGATGCCATTTGGTTTATGCAACGCTCCGGTTACTTTTCAAAGATGCATGATGTCCATTTTCTCCGACATGGTAGAGGATTTTCTAGAAGTCTTCATGGACGACTTCTCGGTGGTAGGTGACTCTTTTGAGCATTGCCTTAACAATCTTAGACAAGTGCTTAAGAGATGTGAAGAAACCAACCTTGTGCTCAATTGGGAGAAATGCCACTTCATGGTGGATGAAGGTATTGTATTGGGGCACAAAATTTCAAAACATGGCATAGAGGTCGACCGGGTTAAGATCGAGATTATTTCCAAGCTTCCTCCACCTACTTCCGTTAAAGGTGTTCGAAGTTTCTTAGGGCATGCCGGATTCTATAGGCGTTTCATCAAGGATTTTTCCAAGATTGCAAATCCATTGTGCAAACTCCTTGAGAAAGATGACAAATTTGTGTTTGACGAAAAATGCCTCAAAGCCTTTGAGGAATTGAAACAAAGGCTCACCACGGCACCCATTATTGTCACACCCGATTGGTCTCTTCCTTTCGAGCTCATGTGTGACGCCAGTGGTGCAGCTATTGGAGCAATGCTTGGCCAACGTTACAACAAGGTTCTCCACCCGGTCTATTATGCAAGCAAGACAATCAATGGAGCGCAAATAATTACACACTGACTGAGCAAGAACTTCTTGCCATTGTTTATGCCTTCGAGAAGTTCCAGGCTTATTTGTTGGGATCTAAGGTGATAGTGTACACAGATCATGATGCTCTTCGATATCTCATGGCAAAGAAGGATGCAAAGCCTAGGTTGATTCGATGGGTCTTGTTGTTGCAAGAATTTGACTTCGAGGTCAAGGATCGCAAGGGAACTCAAAATCAAGTAGCGGATCATTTATCAAGGCTTGAAGAGGCAGGAAGGCCAAAGGGAGATCTTGAAATCAACGATGCCTTCCCGGATGAACAAATATTGGCACTATCTAGCACTTTTGCTCCTTGGTATACCGATATTGCTAACTACTTGGTTAGTGACCTTATTCCGGAAGGATTGGAATCCTATCAAAAGAAGAAATTTTTGAGAGATTGTCGGCAATACTATTGGGAAGAGCCATACTTGTTCCGTGTTTGTGCTGACAACATCATCCGAAGATGTGTTCCAGAAGAAGAAATTATGCCAATTCTAAAAGCATGCCATGACTCGCCAGTTGGGGGTCATCATGGGAGAAATCGGACGGCGGCTAAGGTGCTTGAATGTGGTTATTATTGGCCGTCGATCTATCATGATGCCAATCAAATGGTCAAGGCTTGTGACCAATGCCAAAGGCAAGGATCAATCTCCAAGAAGCATGAAATGCCAATACACTTTGTGATGGAGATAGAAATTTTCGACGTATAGGGGATTGATGTTATGGGTCCCTTTGTAAGCTCTTGTGGGATGAAGTATATCTTGGTAGCTGTGGACTATGTGTCCAAATGGGTTGAAGCAATTGCCTTACCAAACAACAAGGCAAGAAGTGTGACCGCATTCTTAAAGAAAAACATATTCACTCGATTTGGCACTCCTAGAGCCATTCTTAGTGATGGTGGGTCTCATTTCTGTAACAAGGCTTTCACGGGGATACTAGAGAAGTATGGCGTCAAGTACAAGGTGGCCACACCTTATCATCCCCAATCTAGTGGTCAAGTTGAGGTTTCCAACCGGGAGATCAAGAGCATTCTAGCAAAGACTGTTAATGCAAACAGGACCAACTGGTCAAGGAAGCTAGATGACGCATTGTGGGCGTACCGCACGGCATAGAAGACTCCTATTGGTACTTCTCCTTATCGGTTAGTCTTCGGCAAAGCTTGTCATCTACCCGTAGAATTGGAACACAAAGCCATGTGGGCCCTGAAGAGGTTGAACTTGGATTGGGCTGAAGCTGTAAATTTGAGGTTAACACAACTCAATGAAATGGAGGAATTCCATTTCCATGCATATGAAAGTGCAGCTGTGTATAAAGAAAGGATGAAGTTCGTCCATGACAAAAAGATCTTGAAAAGGGAGTTCAAGTCGGGTGACTTGGTTTTGCTCTTTAACTCAAGGCTCAAATTGTTTCCGAGAACGCTAAAATCAAAATGGTCCGATCCGTTCAAAGTGGTAAATGTCTCTCCTTTTGGAGCTGTGGAACTAGAATCGGAGGATGGGCTCCGAACCTTCAAAGTGAATGGCCAGCGAGTCAAGCATTACTTGGGCACAGATGGAGAAAAACATTTGGTGGAGCAGCTGGCTCTCAAAGATGGTCCATGCCCGACCAATGAGTGAATCCAAGGGAACGTCAACTTCGTCGTGCCACGATGTTAAATCAAGCGCTTCATGGGAGGCAACCCATGTGTGGTATGAAGTTTTTAATTTTTGTAAGATAGATTTAATTAAGCAATTTAAAGTGTGTGTTAGAGTGTTAGAGTGCAGTGGGTAAGATTGCATGAAAAGGGGGAGAAAAATCACTTTCCACAGTTTGCTGCACATATGCGGTCGCATTTTAACTATGCGGACCGCAATTTGGTCACAAAACAACACAGCGTGTTGGCTAAATCTGGTGGTAAAGATGCGACGAGTTGGTGCACTATGCGGACCGCATTTTCACTATGCGATCGCATAGTGCACCGCATTTTGGGCCCTTCAGCAAGTCACTTGAATCCACCGCATAACACTTATGCGGTCGCATAGTGTGTTATGCGGTAACTTACCCACCACAAAATTGTCAGGTATATCTTCGCATCCTTTCATCTCTCACACATTTAAAACAAAACAAACTTTTTTTTATTGTATCAGAAACAAACCAAAATGAAAAAAAAACGAAAAACGAAGAGAAAAGGAACGGAGAAGGCAAAATCGACTAGTGCGTGATCTAATACTCCAAGTGTGCTCATAAACAACGTCACTGGTATGTCTTCTTTGTCCCAATTCCATTATTGCAGGCTTTGGTTGTACAGTTGTTCTTATTATTATTTTTTTTTGTTTCCCCTGTTGTTGCTTTTCTTCTGTGTTTTTCTTTCGTGGTTTGTAATTAGAGACCTTTTCGTAGTGTGCTCTTAGTTAATGAGTGTGTTTTGGGGACGCTGGGTAGTGAAAATTAGGTCCACCATTACTGAGGGTT